AGTGGTGAAATCTATGAAGTGACATGGACAACTGTTTCTGAGGGCCAACACTAGGAAGCTCTGACTGCCCCGAACACCTGGGAAGCTCCCGCACAGCACCCCTTGCCCAGGGGCCCAGCTCCTCAGACCTGGCCCTTCTAAGCCCAAGACTGCCATCCTTAACCCTGCCCCCTGCACAAAAGCTAAGAGTCAACCTACACCTCTCACACTGCCACCGAGGGTCAGCTGCAAAACAGTCCCCCGCCTGTCCCGCCTCCCTGTGCCCATTGGTGCTGACCCTCAGCCCAACCTCCACCCTGGCCTCTCTGCAACTGTACCAGGAACGGTTCTACACATACACTTCACGTGCACTCGCTCGCTGACTCCTCCCGACACCTCCGGTCTCAGATGACGCAATGGAGGCACCAGGAGCCCTAGGCTCTAAGATGACATGGCTGCCAAGTGGCAAGGGCACAGCCTGGCTCCCAAGCCCTCTAGCCCTTCAGCACAGTGCAAAAGCCTCTGCTGTAGCCATCAGCCTGGGCAGGGCCGGGTCCAGAAGTGTCCTTGAAGGACAGAAGGCCCTGGGGAGAATCCTGGAATTGAGATCTGCCCATCCCAGCCGCCATGCCTCCTTGCTCATTTGCAGCCACAGCGGCCTCCAACAGGATTCTGGGACACGCCACACTCTCTCGCTTTAGCTGCACCTTTGCAGTCCTCACTTGTGGATCTGCCCCCAGGCCCTCCCGGTCCCTCCCTCCCCAGCCTCTGAGGCCTCCTCCCGGTGATCCTCTGGCACGGGCCGGCCCTGGTTTCTCACTCTGCTGAGCCCCCTCCATCTGTGAGCAGGCACGCTGTCACTTCCTTCACTGCTCCGTTCCCTCCCTCCTGTTCCAGCCCCCCAAGACTGGAGGACATGCCACGCCTGGCGGTGGCTCACTGTCGCATCCCAGTTCCCAGCACGGTGTCTGACACAGAGCAGATGCTCCAGAAATAGCTGAAGGAACAAGTGGACTTTCACTGCAGAAGGGCGCAGCACATGCTCTGAATGTCACGTGCCCGTGTGACACGGGCTGGAAGGGCACCTGGACATGCATGGTTACCCAGAGTCTCTTCAGGAAGTCAGGACGATGACTTCTCCTCCACCAGGATCACTTGCTATTGGGGAACTGGTAGGAATCCTCTCAGAAGGCCCTCTGGCCGGTCCCAGGCAGGAATCCGTGCCCTCTCCTCAACGCCTGCTTGTCCTCTGAGTAATCCTGTCCAGGCGCGCTGCCATGAATGAGTCCCACGGCCTGGGTCAGCTCAGCACCCTCCCTCTGGCCAAAGCAGCCGGGGCTGTCCTTCCTACTTCAACACACAGTGCCATCACGCAAGGGATGAAGTGGTTTGAGTCCCTCAGGAAATGCTCCTGAAGACATTACTCATGCTGAAAATGCCATCCCCTTGGAGCCTGGCAGTACAAGTTGTATCTCGCTCATTCAACAGATGCAGCAGGGACAAACTCCTGCTCTCACTCCCCAGGCACCTATCATGCACCAAGCCTGTGCTGTGTGCTTTACACCCACTATCTCATTTGAACTTCTCAAAAGCCTTTCTTGGAAGGTCTTTTAAAGTCATTTTAAAGTGAAAGCCATTGAGCCTGGGTGTGTGTCTGTGTGTGTGTGTCACAAATCAGATTACTCCAGTTACAGCCAGGGCTGCAAAATCATGTCAGCGGGCCATGTTGACAGCACAGGGGAACACACAGGCTTCAGCTGGAGGGGCTGCCCAAAGCAGCAGCTGGGACTTGGGAAGTTCTCCATAGGCAAACGGTGGCACCCAATTCAATTAAGAAGAGGAACGCAACGTCCTTATCTGCTAGAGAGAAGTGGTTGTCAGTGCAACACTGTGATGTCTCCCATCTGCTTTATACACTGGGTAGGTGTGTGGGTGGGCATTTTAAAGACAGACGGTGGGGCTGCAGCTGGGGCAACATGGAGACTCACGATGCCATTCTCTTTACGAATCTATCGTTTCCGACGTTCCCCTTCCCTCCCTTCCCCTGTCTGCTCTGCCCTTCCTTCCGCCTCCCTTCAGCACAGTCTGCTGGGCTGCAGGTTCATGACCCTTGCCCCGTGCTGCTTCCCCTGGAGCAAAAAACAGAATGGCCTCTGCTTGAACAGGGTCACCACATCTTTGCTGCTCCTTGTCAGAAGCCACCATTGTGCCAGGCCTGCCACCCCTGGCCCAGAGGGGTGTGCTCTCTTACCACAGGGTGACACTCCCGTCACCTCCTCCTGCTGTGTGGAGCCCATTCCTTTAAGCTTATCAGACCATATCAAGCTAGATAAAGCTGACCAATCCCAAGCATTTCTCCCTGAGTCAGCTGTCTCTAGCACATGGGAGAGACATAAACATGCCCAGCTTCGGTCATTTAGCAGCTAGGAACGCCTTCACCTGCCCTTCACCCATGGTGCTTCTATTTTTTGTATTCATAGAAGGCATTTTGTGAAATGCAAAGTATGGAGATTTCTCCCCTAATAGTAGGCTGGACACCCCAGCATTTATTACCTCTCTCTCTCTAACACACAAACACATGCACACAACCAACAACACAGCCAACCAACAACACATGCACATCTTATTCTGGTGCTATGTGCTTTTAAAATCCACAATCCCTCGTCTTTTCTGCTCTCTTTAGCAAAAGGCATAATTTGCAATCAGTCTGGGTAAAGACAGACAGCCATTACTTTCTTAATGGCCAACTACCCAAAAAGGCTCAGTTAAGTGATCTCAACTAGCAATCTAATCAATTAAAATTGATAAGTGAAATACTTTTAACCTTTCTTTCAGCAGGCCACTCCTGGGGGGAGGAGAAGGAATGTGAGTTCCCAGCATAAAATTTAATTCCCTTTCACGGCGCAAACATTCCTGCTGCCTGATGGAGTGGCTCCTTTAAGGCAAGCTGTTTCCCTTTCTCGTCCTGAATCAAATCAGACAAAGACTGGTTTGTGATTCTCTCCAGCCAATGCAATCAATTTTCATCCTTACAGAAAGCCCTGTGGCCATTTCTCGAGGGTGGAAGGGCCGAGGGAGATGGGCATGGCGTGGACAGGGGAAATAGCTTCTTTGTTCTTCCAAGGAACGGAGCGAGGGAACAGCAAGGAGGCCAGAAACAGAGCCAGCCAGCAGAGCCCCACTCCTGCCCCTGCCTCACCGAGCTCCTGGGGGTGGGGGGGGTGGGGGTGTGCTCTGCTCAGCAGGAGCCTCAGCTCACCAACTCGAGCCTGTAACTGACACGGTGCTGAGCACAGCATGTGCGAGGCACCGTCCTTGGTCACCTTACGCGGTTCTTCTTACATGTTCCATACCACGCATGCTGTATTTCACCCACTCCTCAAACCAGCCCTATCACCTAAGGCAGGCGAGGAACAGGAGGCTGTGGCGGCGTCCGGGATCTGCTCGGGGCACACGGAGCAGGGCAGGGATGTCTGGCTGAAACGCCACCACTCGGGGCTCTACGGCACGACTGCTAGAGCCACGATACTGACCAGTTCTGTCACATCTCAATGATTACACGTGAATGCTCGGCGGGTTTTACTCTGTGGAAATGACACCTCAATAGAGTTGATCTGGAGGAACACTGATCCTACATGGAGTGGCCGCCTGCCGTTTCTGCCTGCCCCGCCTCAGGCATCCCTCCTCTGTGACTTCCCTCTGAGCGCCTGCTCCTTCCTCACTCTTAGACAATGGTTTCCAAAGGGACTGGCCTTACCACAGCTCCACAGCTGCCATGGGCCTCTGGCCTAGGCAGTCAGTGGACCACATTTCTCTGACCACTGAGCAGCACAGGGGTGGTCAGAAGTCCCAGGGTCTGCATCCCACACTGGAGTCCTCAGGTTTGAGTCCCTACTCGGGTCCAGCTCCCTGCTAACGTACACCTTGGGAAGCAACAGGTGATGGTTCAAGTACTTGGGTCCCTGTCACCAGCAGGAGAGACCAGGATGGATTTCCAGGCTCCTGGCTTTGACCTGGCCCAGCCCTGGCTGTGTGGATGTTTTGCGAGTGAACCAGCAGACGGAAGATCTCTGCCTGTCTCTCTGCCTTTCAAATACTATGAAAATAAACAATTTTAAATAAGCTGTAAGGAAGGAGACGCTCTGTCGGGACTGCTCAGCTGGCTCAGTGATCACCGGGCTGCTGATGGCCACGTTGCCCCCATGTGGTGCGAGGGCTCCTGTGGAAGGTGGACGTGAAGGTCGGAGCAGCAGCTTCCACACAACACTGCTCAGCACCAGGCACACCCATGCCCAAAGGTGTCAGTCGTGGTCGTTCCAGGAACAGCAGCCAGGTCTTCTTCCTTAATCCAGCCTAACTCGGGTTTTCTATCTCTTACAACCAAAGACCCCTAACTTTAGCACCATGATGCCTGAGAGAACAAAAACCCTGCTGTCCATGGACGGCACACACAGGCCCCTGGGGACGGGAGGAATGGAGGGTTCCAGAAACACGGCCGGCTCTGTGTCCATGGACACATTTGCCTCTCAGCCTCACACTGCATAGGAGACCACCGAGGTGAGGCGTGCTGATGCAAGCAGCCCCAGGTTGTCCACTGAGCGCGTTTCTCTGGCTCCCAACGCCCTCATCCTGACCTAAGTGCAGGCGATCTGCTGTCTGCAAGCTAGCTTTCTTTAGCAGAAGAGCCCTTCTGTCGCTGGGGTCACACAGAAAACCTTGAATGCGCATGACCTACCAGGCGGGGGCCGCCGCGGCCACACAGAGGGCACGGAGCCAGGGGCTGTGCCACCCTTGCTGGATCTCCCACTCTGCACAGACGTTTCAGCAACCCCCTGGTCTCCAAAGAACAGAACCTGTGAACTGGCCTCAAGGGGCCCGGAATCTGGGGCCCCTTAGGACATGCACCCTGTTAGCCAGGGCCACAGATACATGGCGGCACAGAATGCAGGATGCGACCTGGCCCTCCCAGGCATGTGGGAGTGAGCACCGCAGCGTCCCGGTCCCCGGGCCCTGCCACTCACTCAGATCCAGGACGTCGTCGGTTTTGATCAGGTCTTCCTCCCGAGTCAGGGGCAGCTGGGTCTCAGGCTCGCCGCGCAGCTGCAGCGACAGGCATCGCAGCATGAAGAACACCCGGATGGCCTGGGCAGACAGTGCAGAGTGAGAGGGTGAAATTGCAGCGGCGTTTCTGCAGATGCCCCTACCGGGGACTCCTAACTTAACAAGAAACACACACGTGGGACAAAGCCTGCCTCTCCCAGTACAGTGCTTCTGGAGCTTTCAGAGCAAGACAACCAGAGGGGCAGCCCATTCCCAGCGAGCTACGGGCTCGGGTTTGGGTCAGTCACCACAACTGAGCACCTGTCACCTCCCAGGACCTGGCCTCCGAGAGTCATGTGACCTTCACCACTTGCTCCCTGCCCAGCAGTCAGCCTCCCTTCACAGAGGGGCAACCTAAGAAGCTGAAGCCACCTGCCCACAGCCATGTCTCGAGGGACAGCTAGAATCGCAGGCTTCTCCAGCTACACAGTCAGGGGTGGGGAGACTCGAATCACAAGCATTTCCAGTTCCTGACTGTGAAGCTGGGGGAGGCAGAAGAAGGTGACACACACCCAAGGGGGAAGATCCAGTTAAAATCTGACCCCTGCCCTGTTCCTCCCTGGATGAGCCCCCCACCTCCTGGCCCCTTTGGCCTATGACAGCGACTGTGCCGGGTAGAGCTGCTGGCATGGCGGAGGCCGGCAGCTCCCCGAATGCCCCTTGGGCCGCCCTGGCCAGGCCTCTGGTGGCAGAGGTGTCTCCCCCAGCACCAGGATTCCTGGCCCACTGAAGAGGTTTCTGGTCAGAACCCAGTGTGGCCACCAGACATTTTCAGAGAGCAGAAAAAAAGCAGAGTCCCTCAAAGCCAGTAAAGTGTGTGCAGAGAGCAGCCTTCGGCCCCGGAACAGGCTTGCCACCGACCAGAGCCAGGAAGCAGACGGGCAGCCCAGGTCTCTCCTCGGCACAGAGCAGATGGGGACAACTGAGACGGAACACTGGAGGGAAACCAGCTTACGTCAGACGGACGAGATCTGCAAGGGATTCCCAGCTCCGCTGTGCTGGGCAAGGTCCTTAGGGAGCTTCACTGTCTTCATCTGTGAGCCGGGCATTGCAGGGCTCACTTGCAGGGCTACTAGGTTCTGAGACAATGTTGCAAGGGAAGCAGCCAGCACAGTGCCCCATTGGGGTGGCTACCCCATCACCTGAGAGGCAGCAGGCTGGGCACAGAGGAAGGTGCTGGGACAAAGCCCCCTCCCTAAGGCAAACCGCACAGAGAATTCCAGCGCACCTCTGAGAGCCGAGTCCTGGCCGAAGGGGAGGCTGCCCCTAACACAGCAGGGTGCCTTCCAAAAACAAGAAAGCACATCAGTTACTGCCAGCCTAGAGCTGCTAAGGATGCTAATTAGCCATGCTAATGCTGCGGACACAGAACACTGGGAAAGCCACCCTACTTCCTGGGCCTATTTGGAAGCGACACAGTCTTCTCTGTGAACCACACAGCACAAAAGATAAGGTTTATATTTTAATGAAGGTGGTGGTGCGGGTGCTAATGCCAACCTCGGTATTGGATTTGACTGTTCTTTTTCATTTTTTTTTTTAAGTTTTATTTATTGAAAGCTGGTAGTGGGGGGTGGGGTTGGGCAGGAAGCAGGAGGGAGAAATTTTCCATCTTCTGGTTCACTTCTGAAATGCCCTCAGCAGCCAGGGCTGTGCCAGGCCAAAGCCAGGAGCCTGGAAGGGACCCTAGCACATGAGCCATCACCTGCTGCCTCCCAGGGTACATACTGGCAAGAAGCTGTGTCAGAGCAAAGGGGGTACTTGAACCCAGGTATTCTGATACAGGATGTGGGTGCCCCAAGTGGCTGCTTAACACCTGTGTCACAATTTCCCTCTCTTTTCTTAATAGTGTTTACAAGTAGTCTTCAAAAAGATATCTGCAATCATCAGAAGAAAAAAACAAAGGTGTCCCCCCAAAAATTTTTTTAAAAAAGCCTTCTATTTATTAAGTGTCTGTTGTGTGCCAGGCCAGGAATGGTAGGCACCTGATTGCAGCGTTGAGGTCTCGTGGAAGAAGAGGTGGAGCTGTGAGGGCAGAATGAGCTCACATCTCACAGCTGCTGCTGGCTGAGCTGGGTCTGAGCTCAGTCACCTCTGAGGCCTGTGTCCCTGGACCAAATGCCAGCCCAGATGCACAAAGCGTAAGATGTGGGCTGGACACTTGAAATATTTGATAGTACAATCTCTCAAAGGAGTCATCTTGGGGATGAAGGAAACAAAGAAAAGGGCCCATCATGGTCAGGTTCAAGCCAAGGGGATGCTACATTTCTGCGTCAGAACTCCACTCTTCTCTGGGGCCAGAGCAAAGAACTCCAGCAGGACCACAGCCAGGAAAGAGAAAATAGAAGCGTGTGTGGCTCTCTGCAGCCAGCACTCTGCAAACCTGAAGCTTTCCAACAAACATAACAGGAGTTAGGAATTTGGCTCTTAATGTAGGCCTTTTTGGTAAAACATCTGCTTTTGCTCTATAAAAGACAAATGGAAGGTATTTCCAGGAATACAAATAACAATAATAAAATAACTGAAAACATAAAATAGAATATTAAACTATAAAATAAAATCTCCCAATTCTTGCCCTGGTTCCTGCCCCAATTCCTAAGAGAGGGAAGGGTACATGAGAAGCCTGAGCCCCCGAATCTAAGAAAGTGAATTCCCACAGGGCGGGGTGGGCCACTTGACTGAAAGTGGCTCCCACGGCGGGGTTGGAAAAGTCTGCCAGGCCTGTTGACCACCCCACAGCTCCAAAAAAACCGCACAAAATCCTGAGACAGTACAGGTGTTTGGTAGGTGGTTAATAATGATGTCACTTGGGATACTCGCATCCCATTTCAGAGTACCTGGGTGTGAGCCACAGCTCCACTTCTAACCCAACTTCCTCCTGGGTACCCTGGGAGGCAACAGTAACAATGGCTCAAGTACTGGAGTCCCTGACACCCCCATGGGAAATGCAGTCTGAGTTCTGGGCTCCAAGCTCTGGCCCTGACTGGTGTGGGCACGTGGGAAGTGAACCAGCATATGGAAGATTTCCTGTCTGTCTCTTTCTCTCTTGCAAATAAAATCAAAGTAGATGAGTACAAATTAAAAAAACAAAACAAAACAAAACCAACAACATGAGGACAAGGGCCGTACAATCCATCCTACCACCCGTCAAGGCGGTAACCCAGCCTGCCAGGTGCTGTCTGGGGTGGTCCAGTGTCATCTCATGCAAGTCTGTTAATGACCCTATGTGCTCCCCATTTTACAGAGGGGACCAATGCCAAGGATGTCAAGCGGCCTGTCCAAGGTCACTCAGCCAGTAACTGGATTCCAAAGTCTATGTCTGCCCATGCACACTCCTTGGCTTTCAAAAGATTGAAGGCTTAAGACCTAGGGTTTCATCAAGAGCTTTTTGTTTTGTTGCTAAATAAAGATGCAAATCTGAAAGTATTTCTAAAAGGGAAAAAGAAATTACTCTCTCAGACTTTTCCAGAGAAGACCAGGAAGATGGCTCTGGAGACTACAGACTTGGAAAGGAGCAGCGGCTAAACAAAGTCAACTAGAAAGAGGAGGCGTCTCCAGTGTCCTTGCTCTGATTCGCCCACGAGAAAACCGGCAAGTCTGTGGGCCCAGGGACGTGTCCAGTGAGCAGGGGCAGCAGGACAGCACTGGAGGTACATAGACCTTGGCTCTCTGGGGCTTAAGGAAACACACGAGTTCCCCAGGCCTGCGCTCCAGACACGGAGTACCGATGGGCCATCCGCCACGAGGGGGCCACGAGCGTGGGGCACAGGTGAGGCCTGAGCCTGGGACTGGCTCTGGAACACACACTCAGTTCCCACCCTGCTGCTTCCTCTCGCCACATTTGCAAGCTGCTCAGAGTCGGCGGCAACAGTCACCCAGGTTAGAAGCCCCGAGAGGCTGGGGAATGGCTGTGAAAGTCAGTCATTCTTAAAAGAGAGCTGAAGCAGTGGGACATGGGCACGGCCCATTGGGAAAGCAATTTGGCGATGTGCAGAGAGGCACCAAAAAAATGCTCCTACCCTTTGAACCAGAAAGTCCGCTTCTGGGAACTTAGCCTAAAGAAATAATTCAAGAGAAAGAAAACACTATATTCACCAAGCGGCTCATTACAGCTTAGTCGAGAATAATATAATACTGGAAGCAATCAAAACGTCTACTAGCAGGCAAATGTCTGAGTCAATTACAGCAGAAGTCACCAGTTGAATCTTGGTGCAGTCCTAAGAAATGAGACTTACTAAAGCCGTACCACGGCATGGGAAACGCCTTGTGCTGCAGTGGGAAGAGGGACTAGAGGGGGCGGAGTGCTGGGAGCACGATGTGAACACAGATGAGGGCAGACACGGAAAATGTCCACTACTGTTTGTCTAGGGAGACGAAATCGTGGGAAGCTTTTTCCTTTTCCTTTCAAAACTTCATGTGATATTATTGTACTTTCTTCAATGTGTAATGCACATCCAAAAAGAAAAGCAAAATATTCTATTTCCTCAAGGTCAATAGCAATAAACACAAAAATTGCTTGTGGTTTTACAGGAAACAGAATATGGGGACAAATTAGGCCTAGTGCAAACACATTTATTTCAATAATGGTTTCCAAGATTACTGTACAAAGAGGGCTGGTGCTTGCATTCAGATTTGGACATTCACCTAAAAGCTCCTCTCCCTAACTCCCTGTTTGTCCTGCAGACGCGGACCTCAGGAGGCCAGGATGCTCACAGAGCCCACGTCTTGCCCACCTGACGCGCTGCAATGCTCCACTGCTGCTTGGCCGGCACTTCCTGCGCCGTCCGCCAGGTGCTGCGCCCCTGCCTCACAGCCACTGTCCTGCCTGCTTGGGGCAGCAGCTGAGAGGAAATCACGGGCAACCGGAGGCTCAGGGAGGTTGGGGAACCTGCTCAAGGTCACCCTACCAGAGTCGGTCTGCTTAGCAAGTCGGTGACCTTAACGTCGCTCCACACGGGGAGCCCAAGTCCAGGGTTCTGCCTGAGTTCTCATCGGACCCAGGGTCCCGGTGACCTTCATTTCCTCCCACAAGGGCTCTCCCTGGCAGCACGGCTCAGCGGCACGCAGGCCCGTTTAGTCTTAACGTTATCTGTTCACGGTTCCAGCCCTGGGCCTTGCACAGTGCCTGCTCCTAGAAAAAGCTCACCAAACCCGTGACATGGAAGGACACACAGGGTCATTTACAAAGCACGAGAGGGGGAAGGGCTTCAGGGCAGACGCCTCCCCGGCCGCCCTCCTGCTCTCCCCTCACTGGCTCTCGCGCATCTCAGGAACCTTGCAAGTGCTGCTCCTGTCTGCGAAGGGTCCTTGAACTCTCAGTCCAGGTCCATTACCTCGCAGCTTCCAGCACCAATGCTGCCCGCAGGGTAGTTTTTTACTGATGGCTCCTCAAGCCCTGGTCACGTCAGGCCTCCCTCCACCAGAGTCCTGCCACCGTCTGATCTCACACCTGCTATCTGTCTACTTGTTAGTGAACTTCACCTCTCAGGTGCACACAGCAGGGACATCTACCCCGTCCCTACCCCCGGTGTAGCCAAGCACTCGGCACACAGTAGGGAAGCAGCGGCTCTCTGATGAACGTGTGACTGGATATTTTAAGAGTTATGAATGATTTGCCAGTGAGGGTTGCCTGAGCTTCTCTGCTGTTTCCTGAAGGAAAACAAAGGGTGGGATTTCTGAAAAGGACCAACCTCTGACAAAATTTAAAAATTCTAGTTGGTGGGGGGAAGAAAGAGAAAAAGAAGAAAAACCTTTGATTCCAAAACCTTTGATTCCAAAGAGGTAAAGAAGAATGCTCTTTGGATACAAGCAAAAAAGTTGAAACAAACCACATAAGCCTTCAATTGCTTGCTAAACCATACACTTCCTTTAGCTGAAATTCAAAGCAAACTGCTGTGTTCTGATTTCGGAAATGGCCTTGAAGAGCTAAGCGTCCGGATGATTCCAGACAGCTGCCCTGCAACAGGAACTGGACTGAGGTGAGGGGCCAAAGTCCCCTTCAGAAAGCAGCTCTTCGGTCACAGAGGAAGCTTCTGTAAAGGAGACGCCTCTGCTCTGGGGTGCCCACGGTGTTCTTGTCGCTCTGCTGCCCGGGGACCCCGGGAGTTGCGAGTTGCTGTGAACTGGGCAGACAAGAGACCTCAAGGTCCCAGGAGCTGTGCATCCCATCTGGGAGGGAGGCAGGCGGCTCACCCTGGCACCTGTGACTTCGTGAGGTCTGAGTGGCAAGGGGAGAGAGAATAACCATCACGAAGCGCCCGAGAGCAGCCCGAGTGCTGGCTGCTGAGTCCTCAAGCTACCTCTGTGAACACAGGCTGCAGAGTGGACACACGGCCTCCTGTTTCTCTCATTTCTCTACTGTGGCTCTGAACCACCTGTCCCAAGCCAGCAGGATGTGATGTTAGCAAACAGCGTTCACAGGTGATGGTCAAGGCCCTACAGCCTCACCACTTCCTACTTGGCTCCAGCTGCGGCCACCTCCTTGGAGATGCTTCCACGTGCCACACCTCTGGGCCTCAGGCTACTCCTGCACTGTCTTGGCTTAAGCATCATTCTCTCTGCGTCTGTCCCACCTCCCTCCCCAGGAAGGGTTAGGGTCCTGGCCCCATGCCGCTTCGGTAAGGGTCTGGCCAAATGCCCCGCTACCACCTTTTTCTACCTCACCCTCTACTCTGATTCCTGGAGACTGTGTTTTGGACAGCCCCATGTGCAGCTCTCAGTGGGGCTGGGGGTGGGGGGTGGTGTCATGGTGCTCCAGTCTGGGCTCTGGAGGCCACACTGCCTGGCCAACTCCTGGCTGTTACTACCTGGGTGACTTAGAGCAAATCTGTTAACCTCCTCCTGCCTTACCTTCCTTGCTAAGATGAGTGATCACATGAGAAAATCCACATACAGAACTGACAGGAGTGATTCACTTTGTAACAAAGGGAGCACTCTCCTAAAAACACTAAGAAAAAGCCTGGTGAGCCATGAACCAGAAGAAGGCAGAGTATAACCCAGGGCAACCGCTCTCAGCACCCCACCCTTGGGACCTTCTGGCCCCGGGGTGGGGGATACTCAGCACGGGACTCTGCAGCCTGGGTCAGCACCCCTCAGGCCAACCAAAAGTTTAGGTAAGTATACAGCATGCAGAGGGGTTGCTGACAGGGTACACGCTTGTCAGAATCACCTCCCCTAAAATCTGACACCCAGTAGGAACACTGCCACCCACAAACAGAACCGTATGCTGGCCGGGGGCAGCGGCACTGGTCGGGAGCTCAGGAAAGGGAGACACCAGCGGCGCGGACAGGGCGGGGCCTGTGGTGAGGTCTGTGGGTTGCATCAGGCAGCTGGGAATGTGGATCAAGACAAGACACATGGGTCCTACTTCCTCTGCACCCCTAGGAGCTGAGGCAGAACCACCCGCTGGGGGGAGGGGTGGGGGAGGCCTGCAGATCCTCGGGTGGGAGGAGCACCCACGTCATGCCTGCTTTTCCAAATCCAAAAGTGAAACACCTCTGCCACCCTCCCACACAGCCTCGCAAGGGAAGCCCCATGTGACGGAGCCCTCTAAGCTATCCACTCACTTCCACGTCTCCAGGAGAGGATTTCTAGGAAAAGGCTACGGTGCTTTCTAAGAAAGCAAGCGTGATCTTACGAGGGAGATAAAGTACCATGAACGGCCTCACCGACACCGCTTCCTAGAGCGTGGCTGCAGACCAGAAGCGCTAATGACGGAAGCACACGGTCAGCTGCTTCTGAGAACCGTCTGCCCCAGAACGTGGGGCTCCCGCAGGCCCCCAAGAGCCCCTTTCATTTGCGAATGCCTAGCTTAGCTCCAAGATCTGTCAGCTCTCTCCGCGTCACGTCATCTCGGGGGTCCTGAGGTCTCCGAGCAAGGCTCTCCCACCCACCTCCTCCGTGCTGGATGCACCGTGCTTGTCCCCTCCTGGCTCCCACTGAGGGCTCAGGGGTGTGCTGTGCACAGCAAAGGCAGCACACCTGGGCCAGACACAGTGGAATCCCAACCCCTGCCTTTCAAAGGGCCACACCCTTGGGAAAGCCACATCTGGTGGCCAGTGTGGCAGGTGCTGTCAACGCGGCATGTAAGCTCCTGTTGAAGCAGGCTTTTGACTTGACCCCCAGCCAGGGAGCGGTCCCTGCTGCCCAGGAGGATGGGTCCGGTGGCACTCACCCGCCGGGTCTTCTCCACGTCGCCGCACGGCAGGCGCTTCACGAAGTCAATGCCCGTCAGCGGCGTGCCCGTCGGGGGCAGCAGGATGGAGGCATCCATCATGAGATACTCCACATTCATGGGCTTCATCTAGGAGAGACACCACAGCAAAACTCAAAGAGGGCCCCTCACTTTGGGGAGATGGGGCAGGTTACGCAGGCAAGCGAGGGACACAGGTGAAGGCCGGAGGCAGCAGCTCCGGCTCTCCAAGGTGCACGCACTTCCTTTAGCTGAAGCGGCTGCTCTGGGGCTCTTGAGACGCTGGCTTTTCGACTAGGAGAAGCTCTGCTCTCTCATCCTCTCATCGCCCACACGTAGGAACGGGGCTCTCAGGGACGAGGCAGCTGCCTTGCCTGGAGGCTGCCCCCGCGAGTGTTGCCTCCCTGCAGCCTGCTCCTCTCTCTGCCCTTCCCGTGCCGACATGAGCACTACCCATGGGTAGGCTGGGCCTGGAGGGCTTCAGCAGGGACGCTTCCTGCTGTGTTGCTAGGAGCCGAGCTTCAGAGAGGAGAAAGAATGCACTTGGGTCGCTCAGTTAGCTGGTGGCAGAGCCAAGGCATGAGCCCAGGCCTGCCTTGCTCCAGGCGGCCATGCCCCCACCCCCAATCCTGGGATTTCCAGCCAGGACCCGTGTTCCCCCTTCCTTCACATCTTCCCCATGATAACAGACAGTATTTACGGAGCATCTACGGACTGCCAGGCACCTGCCTGGCTCACCTTCTGCTAGATGCCGGTGCCCATATCTCAGAGGATAACACCGAGTTCCGGGGAGCAAGGGCACTTGCCCACAGTTACAAGGCCAGACAAGAGCAGAGCTCTGCCTCCTTCCACACTACCTCCATGGAGCCTTCCTTGATGACTAAGACACAGGGTCGCATCGACTCCCCTCCTGATTCTGACCACTTAGCGCACATGTTGGCTGAACACTAACACTTTATTTAGCCAGCGTCCTAATTAAGGAATGGCATGCCACTGAAGAAAGTTGTCTATAGAATCAAGTTTATTCTCTTTTCAAAAAGGGGGTAGCAAACAGATCATGTTCCCTTCCTGCCACATAAAGTTGAGGGAAGATGGCAAGGAAGCGGTGAGGGCCCTGCTGTCCAGAAACCTGGCAAGCAGGCCAGGGGCCAGGAAGCCACTCAGGGCATGCTGCTTGCCTTCCTCTTTAGAGGGCCAGCCCCATCCGCCGACACTGCCCTCAGCACTGCCCGCCTGCGCCACCTTCCCACCTGCCTCACCGGCTCGACACTGCATCTATTGTTTGCCATCACTTCCACGCCCTTACCCTGAATTTAAGCCTGCTGTGAGGGGAGCGGGCTGGCTGGGCCCATTAAGCCTCTTCCATTAAACCAGAGGTACTGGGCCAGTGCTGGGGTGCAGTGGGTGAAGCTGTGGCCAGCAATGCCAGCATTCCACGTGAGTACTGGTTCAAGTCCTGGCTGTTCCACTTCCAATCGAGCCCCTGGCTAATGTGCCTGGAGAAACAGCCGAAGATGGCCCGAGTACGTGGGTCCCTGCCACCATTGTGGGAGACCCAGAGAGAGTTCTGGGCTCCTGGCTTTGGCCTGGCCCAGCCCCAGCCACCGCAGCCATTTGGAGAATGAACCAACAGATGGAAGCACACACTCTCTCTCTAACTCTGCCTTTCAAAATGAATAAGTAAATCTTTAAAAAAAAAAAAAAAGCCCCTCGAGGTGCTAAGGGAAATGAGGGGAGGGCTAAAAGCCAAGCCGTGGCTTTAGCACAGCAGCCTTCTTGCAGGGTTGAGCGGAGCTCAGGGTCTGTCACCACCTCATTCCGCTAGGAGGCCGAGCTGAGGACGGCCTTCAGCCAAAGGCTCAGGCTGTGTCGTCTTTGTATTACTCTAGAATGCCAGGCACTGGGCGAGACATGCCATAAACACTTGACTAAAACTAACAAAACCCAGGAAGCTTCCTAGGGTGGGAGGGGAGGAAATGAATGGTTGTAGTACAAGGACACCACACGAGACACCTCGCTGAGCGGCTCTCATCAGCCTGGGCAGCGCCATGCTGGGGACACCGTCCTACAGATGGAAGAACCCAAAGCTCAGATGCTAAGCAGCCTGCCGAGGGTCACACAGCAACATGCACCACACGCAGACACTGCGCAGGTGGGCGCTCAGAGCCTGCCTTGTCCACACGGCCGCATGATGCGAGTCTCACGTTTCCAACTGGGCACCACACCTGGGGCACTGCTGCGGAACAGGGGAAAGCGGGGTAAGACAAGATGGCAAATAACCAGGAGATCCACCTGCCGCTAACTGCTGGGCCAGGGGCTGGGAGGCTGAGCCACTCTTCGAAGCGCTGTGGACACAACAGGAGGAGGCGCAGTCTCGTGCGTCAGCCCACGTGTGAGCAGCAGCAGGAGGCCTGGGTGCTGCTGGGCCCTCTCTGAAGGTGAATGAGGCCAATTTACACCTTTCCATGAAGCAGCCCCGGGCCGGCCCTGTGCTGAGCGAGGGCGCCGGGCACAGCGGTGCACCCAGTGACCGAGCTAGGAAGCCAGGGAGCCACTTAGCGCGAGCTGCCTTTTTCTTTTTGACACTTTAAACACTTAGGTTTATTATAAACTTCCCAAATCACTTTACGCTTTGGTGAGTAATGTCCACAAAAAGGATCATTTATCATCTATTTGTTATTTACTAAGGCAGGTGCCAAGGATGCAGACAAACACGCAACACAACAGAGGTCTGTTACTCACTGAACGCAGCACGCCTCCCTGTCCTCCCCGCAGGGAGAGCGGGCAGACCGCACGGGCACTGTGGGTGTGTGGAAGAGCTATGTGCTGGAACATTCCAGTGACGCGGCAAAGCCAGAGGCAGCCTAACACATTGGGAGGGGAAGTGCCTGGCTGGGGAGCCTGGCTCTGCTACCCACTGGCCGGACAGATCTGGGGACATCCATCAACCTGTCCGCCCGTGTCCTGACGACAGCAGCTCTTCCGTGGCTGATGTGAGAATGCTCACCATGCACAAAGTACTTTACATACCGGACAAGGAATACGCCCTCTTCCAAAGACACCCCCACGGCCAACACTATTCTGAATCAAAGTGGATCTTTCTGAACCCTGCTACTGACACAGCTGGTAGGAATCAGAAATCTGAGCAGTGCAGGGATCAACGACACCATTTTCCACGGACTTCCCTACCAATGTGCCATTTGGTCAGAAGGCCCCAGATCAGAGAGAGGGGCCCTGGGTGCAGCAGGTCGCAGGCGCGTGACCCTCACTTACTGTCATGCTCCTGTATTCATCTTCAAACATGTCCAGAAAAATTTCTTCTCCCTAAAAAGAGAGGAGGAGAGGGAAGAGAAGATTATTCATATTTTTTCCATAAACAACAAAGTATTACAAACCCCAGTTCGCGGCTTTGGGGCCATCTGTTTCTCATTAGCAAGTTCTCGTAAATCACTAGGATGTAAAACACACACGTGAACACACACACACACTCAAAGGAAAGACCAAATATCAAATGGCACCCCCAAAGCTGTTCTTTATTTTTTTAAAGCGTATCACGTTAGAGTTCTTCTCTCACAGGAAAACAAAACAAAACAAAACAAAACAAAACAAAACAAAATAACATTATTAATATTTAAATATAGAAATGGTTACTATTTCAAGTGTTTAACATCCTCTAGGTGTCGATAATGGCTGAGAAAATGGGAAATCCGGGTAAAGTTGCATGCTAAATGCGCGAGGCCCACACCTCGGAAAGGAGGAGAACTCAGCATGCTTAACACCACAGTTCTGCGCTGCTTCCGTTTGTTTCTGGGGAATACCGGGAGGGTCTTGGAGTTCCTGCAGGCCCAGGAGGTCCCCTTCAGAACGGAGGGGCAAGCAGGAGCCTGGATCTGAGACGTACACCCCAGGGACCAAATCCCAGTTTTGCTTCTTGGAGCCACTCTGCTTTGCAGCAAGCGCGAGCTGACAGCCCACGCCTGCTGGGCCGTGAGTGTTGTGTGTTAACTCACATGACGCACAGGCCACAGAGCCTTGCCACTCAGCCATGTAACTGTTCACCATTATCACACTGCTATGGACGACAGTGAGAACACGCCTGCCTCCTCTCATAAATCCTCAATCAAACCTTACACACACACACACACACACACATACAGTCAGGGTGGGCAAGGAAATAGGTCCTTTTTACACTTTTCCAGCTATTTGAACCACCAATAAGCCGGCAAGTCTCACAGATAGAATAAGCCTAGAAAACACAAGAAAGCTTCTGAGGCATCCTTCTAGGGGGTAAACCCTACAGGATAAAGGCAGGAGAGGAGAATCTAGGTTGAGAAAAGGGAGCCTAAATTCAGATATAGCTCTCCTTTTGTTAACAGAAAAAGAACCACCCACTGGGAAGATGCCCAAGCCTATGTCTTCCTGATCTTGCCATGTAAAAGCTATCTACGGGGAAATAAACGCAAAGATGACCACCACAAGCGCGAGGTTTCCACTCCTCCAGCCTCAGCTGGTCGGAGCATACCCTCACCGGGTGTCCAGTGTGGCTGTGAGGGTCTGAGGGGGAATCTGGGGTTTTCTACCACAGCGTGTGGCCTCGCCTGTGCAAGGCCACTGCCGCAGGATGGGGTCATCTGAGCCTGACAGGCTGGATTTCCAGATTACAGGACCTCATTTTATCTCAACAAACACTGACCGCAAGGGAAAGTGGCTGAAAAAGATTTCTGCAAAGAAACAGCAGTCGCAGGAAAGTACCAATGAAGCCAGCACAGGTGAGCAACAAGAAAACGGCACTGCTGACCCCTCTCCCCAACCAGGAAGACACCGTGAGCCACCTCAAGAGGGGTAACACGAAGGCTGGGACATCCACGTGCCACAGCAGAGGGCCCGCGTTCAAAACCTGACTCTCCCAACTCCAGCTTGCTGCTAATGCACTCTGGAAGACAGCAGTGACGGCCATTCACGCGGGAGACCTGGGTTCAGCTCCAGGCTCCTAGCTCTGGCCTTGGCCCAGCTCCGGCTGTTGCAGGCATTTGGGAGTGAACTAGCAGATGTGACCTCTACCAAAAAAAATTAAATTAAACAAAACTGAAGATACCCATCCTTCATTTACATGTATAGGACTGGATACCACAACCCTGATTCTAGAGGACACCCACACCACTGTCCACTTGTGCTCTGCCAATTACCTTGTAAAAATGTCGCACCAGGTGAACACTTTCTTCCCTCGCACCCTGTTAAAAGAGAAGGAAGGAGTGAAGGGGGAAGTCTTACAGAGAGGAATGGTCAGTTATGAACCTAAAATCTGCGTCTACATAAAACATGCTGGACTGTATCCTTAATATATACAATGGTTCTTAGGAGAGAGGGAGGAAGGGAGACACAGGTTAAGATGAAAAGGGCAGCGGCCAGCGCCATGGCACAGCAGGTTAAAGCCCTGGCCAGAAGTGCAGGCATCCCATATGGGCACCAGTTCTAGTCCCAGCTGCTCCTCTTCCAATCTAGCTCTCTGCTATGGCCTGGGATAGCAGTAGAAGATGGCCCAAGTCCTTGGGCCCCTGCACCCACGTGGGAGATCCGGAAGAAGCTCCTGGCTTCAGATCGGCACAGCTCTGGCCGTTGCAGTCTTCTGGGGAGTGAACCAGTGGATGGAAGACCTCTCTCTCTGTCTCTGCCTCTCTCTGTAACTCTGTCTTTCAAATAAATAAAATAAATCTTTAAAAAAAAAAGAAGAAGAAAAAGGCAAAAGAATAGGCAATTCAATGTAATGACATGGAAAGCTAACAGACAGCTAACCGGGGAGAATGGGTGATAAAATAGGGCTATTATGGCTCTATTTTTACAAAACAAAAAATGTATTTGTGTGTATATGTTATGTTGTGTTTGTGCATTAAGAGTGTATTTGGGGTGGGCATTGTGGTACAGCAGGTTAAGCGGCTGCTTGAGGTGCCTGCATCCCATGTTGGAGTGGCTGAGATGGAGCCCACCTCCACTTCTGGTAATGTGCACCTTGGGAGGCAGCACATGACGGCTTGGGTACCTGGGTCCTTGCCACCCACAAGGAAAACCTGGATGGAACTTCTGGTTTCTGGTTCCTCCAGGCCCGGCCCTAACTGTTGGGGCATTTGAGTAATCATTCAGCAAATGGAAGAACTCTGTCAATCTGCCTTTCAAACAAATAAAAATAAATAAACTTAAAACCTACACAGACATAGAAGAAAGTATCAACTATAGATGTTACTTTAACCTCTGTATTTCCTATATTTTCTAAGACACAGAGGTAAAATAAGAGGAGGAGGAATGAGAACAAAAGCAATTGAAAACTTAATGAATGTGTATTTTAGCATATAAAACTATAAATCATTATATGTGTGTGTATATAAAAGTTTTATAATACAAAAGAAAAAATATTTCACTCCTGGGGACAAAGGCTGGGTCATGTAATTATTCTAGCAGAACTACTCCAATCCAGTGGCCAGGGGCACTCTGCGAGCCAGTCTGAGCAAGTGGGTGGGGCACGGCCTGGGGGGGGGGGGTGGTCTTGGCCCTGCTGTGGCTAGCGAGTGCTGTGGACACGGCAGATCAGGTGCTCCTGTCTGGATGCCAGCAGCTTCCCTCCCGCTTGCTCCCACCCTCCGCAGCCCGGGAAGGGAAGGGAGGAGAGGCCCTGACCTCCAGGCAGGCCAGATGCACGTCCTTGAGGATGCAGCCAGAGGCGGTCAGGACTTGCTGCTTCAGGAGCAGGCAGCTCAGCTCCAGGGTCGCCAGCCGGATCTTCCCATCTGCAGGGCACCAGGGCACCAGGGTCAGTGCAGAGCACCCGGGCAGAGCACCCGGGACACAGGGTGCTCATCTGACAGGCAGACTGGGCAAGGGCCCCAGTATCCAGCGGAGATTCAGAGGGAAGCCCTGCATGCCACGCCCCTCCAGTCAGCCACAATCCCATGTTCCCATCACAGCTACCTTCACCCAGTACCTCCCTGAAGTCCCTTTATCAGGGAGAGGCGAGCAAGAGAAGGGGAAAGTCTGGCCCCAGACGGAGGCCCTCTGCTTGGCTAGCATCGTTTCCTCATTTCAGCGAGGCACACTCCCACTTTACTCTGGACACCCCCGCTCCACTCTGAGTCATGTGGTTTGTGTGGAGCTGGTCTCCCCTCCCCTACCATTTGCTGCACCGCCAGGCAACGTGCCAGGTAGCACAGAGGGCGGGGCTGTAGTGGGGCCACGTGGCCCAAGTGTGATAAATCACACAGCCACCTCCCCACCAGTATTTTTGATCTTGGAGGGCATTCTACAAATAGAATTTGAGATCTCCCTTCCATCTAGACTGTCCAAACCGAAGTATCTCCCACAGAGCAAGTTTGGAGCCCCAAGAGACAAAGAGACAGCTGGAGAGGCAGGCACTTATCTTGCCAACCCAGAAAGTGGCAGAGTCCAAAGACAGTCTTGAAAACCCTGCTTGATATCCTGGATTCAGCTACGCCTGAAGCCAGACCCCAAAAGGCTCTATAAGCCAGCAACAGCTTTGCTTGTTAGACTGGCTACTTCTGTCGTATCGTTTAAGCCAGTCCGAGCTGGCGATCTGTCAGCTGCACCAAGTTCTGACTAACACAGCTCGCTATGCTACCCAACTGTGATCCAGGCATGGCGCCAGGGGCTTTTAAGGAACCTCTATAAATCTCTTGCAGTAGGTACCCTGAGGACTGTGGCAGACTCTGCTGCTCGGAATGCCAGAACCCACATCTGACATCTCTCCGGGGAGCAAGCCTAACTGTTGCCCAAAGGACAGCCGCTCCTTCCTGATGCAAGGTCCCAGTGTGCCCAGAGGGGCCAGGAAAGGAGAAGTCTCCAGGCCATGCCTCCAAGGCTTCAGAAACATCAAGGGCCAGGCTGGGCCACCGAGGACCACGTAGGCAGGTACACCCCTTACACCTCTCTGCCCACCCTTTGTCCAAGTGGAAAAAGAGAAGAGAAAATCTGCCTGAAAACAAAAAAGCCACATATTCACACAGGCAAAACAGGCCTTCTAAACAGGATTCAAACCCAGGGGCTCCCCGCTACACAAAAAGATCACTTATTTTGTACCTTCTGCCTGCTGCTGCCTCTGGGCAAGTGGAATTGATTCTCCACTCCAAATCCCTGGCCGAGGAGGTGACCATGACTGTCGAGGGGAACAGGGGCCAGCAAGCCCCTCCCTCCGCAGCGAAGCTCTCAGACCTTGTGCCCGCACTGCCGCCCCCTCTCCTCTGCAGGGCGTCCCGCGCAGCAGCCCTGAGAAGCCCCTGTCCCTCCTCGCCCTGGCGGTCCTCTCCTGACACCCAGGCACACTCCACCTGCCTCGTTCACCCAGTTCCCAATGGGGTACCCTGCTCCTGCCTCTGCCACCTTCGTCCAACAGCACCGTCCTCGTGAAGACACGGCTCCTGGACCTCTCAGCTCCACTGACCCCACCGACCACCTCCCCATCCCGTGCCACAGTGCTGGCTCCAGCCATGACCCCTCCTCTGAGCTCTAGCCCCCTTTCCACATGGGAAACACTCTCGTGGGACTTCACAGACCATGGGCTGCGGCTCCTGGGAGGCAGGAGGTGCCGAGGCTGGCCTGCAGGAGGCTCTCGGGAAACATCTGGCCTGCTGACATGAGGCCACTAGCTGGGCTCTCTAGCCTGTCTATCACTCACCAGCACAGCTATGCTCTGCCTCCAGCTACCACCTGGACCCCACTCCCCACGCAATCACGACCTCCCAAGCCCTGCACTGCCCTACGCCCTCCTCGCTGGGTGCTCCTGATCGTTCGCTCAGTGGCTCTCTCAGCAGCTCAGTAAGGCCCTTCGCCATGCACACCCACGCTGCCGTCCCTCTCCTTGCAATCAGGCATTCTCAGTCTCAGCACTGGTGGCATTTCGGGCCAGACAATTTTCTGTCTTTAGCCACTAAATGCCAGTCACACTCTTACTTGTGATGACCCAAAATGTCTCCAGACATTGCCGAATGTCCCTGGGAGGGGGACAGCCCCAGCTGAGAAACACTGCATGCTATTTCCAGCCCTCTTCTGTCTACAGAGTGGTGTTGCCCAAAACCTCTGAGCTGCGCTGAGTGCGGATCCTGGGCTAACGCTACGTTATCAACAGCAGCTGATCAACACTTGCCCACCTCCTCCCCTCTCTCTGACTCTCGGCCCAGCTCATTCTCAGGAAGTGGCTTTGGGTCACCTAGACAGAAAGGCCACAGGCACTGGCAAAACTGGCGAGAGAAGGGCTAGGTGTGGAGAGAGACAAAGGAGAGGGTAAGGGGATGGGAATGGGGAGACAACCCAGAGAGGAACAGGCAGGAGGGTCTCTGCGGCCCAGGTCGTGGGCTCAGGGCAAGGGGATGGCTGACTGGATCCTCAGCGAGGCCGTGGTACCCAGCCGGAGGGCCTGGTCCTTCTGACTCCACGGCCCTGGGCATAGAGGACACCCTAGGTGGGCACCTGGCTGGGCAGCGTTGTTCATGATCCTGATGAGTCTCTCGGCCAGCAGATGGTTGTAGGTGGTCTTCTCAGCCACATTGGGCACCGGAAGCTGGATTCGCTCTAATTTTTCAGGATCCATTCCTGGAAAGGGGGAAGGGAGAATGGAAACAGAGCTGCCTTACGAAGAGGCCCCGCACAGCGGGCTTTCCTCAGCTCCAGCCACCATCTTCCAGGCTTCTGTCACGAACAGGTGCTGCCTGTGCTACAACTTGCAAGTGGTGATAGAAAACGTGTGTTTTAATGCACAGGCACAGGTTGACTTGCAGGAAACTTGGAGGTGAGTTGGAGTAGCCTTGATGCAGTAACTGACAGGAACTGAAGGACCAAGTTCAGCCCTGCTGCTAAATCCCGGCCAGTGGCTCTGACTGCCTGAGGCTGCCCTGCCTTCGCTCCTTAGAAAGGGAGACTGAGGGCAGGCATTCAGCCTGGGGGGGAAGATGCCTGCGTTCCACACTGCAGTGCCTTGCTTCCACACTTGACTCTGCTCTCCACTCCAGCTTCCTGCTAGTGCAGACACAGAGAGGCAGTGGTGATGGTTCAAATGATGGAGTCCCTGCCATTCATGTGGGAGCCTGGGCTGAGCTCCCAGCTCCCGGCTTTGGCTTGACCCAGTGTCAGCCATTGTGGACATCTGAGGAGTAAACCAGCAGATGGATGCTACCTCTCAAATGAAAAAAAAAAACATCATTTTATAAAGAGACAGAAACTTCATAGTGTTGAAGACACACTAGCCCCAAATGATGACATTCATAAGCAGAAGAATGGAAACAGGAGAAACTTCTACAGAGTCCACATCACTGCCCTCTGGTGCCAGGTGTGTGTCTCACCTGTGCCCCAGACTCAGGGAAACACAGAGACCAGACACAAGGGAAAGCGTCACGTCCAACCACTGCCCCTGCAACTCTCAGCACCAAGTCCATGAGCTGAGCCTGACATCCAACAAAACACAGGGGCAAGCAGGTCCAGGGATGGGTGAGGCAGACACACCCCGACGGGGTGGGGAAAGCAGAAGGAAACGAAAGGTGCATGCAGTGAAGCCAACAAGGTGGGTCTGTCATTAAGAGGCAAAGGAATGATTTCTCCTGTGCAAACCACAGTGTTTAAAAGACAGAGGAGGAAGTAGGGGGTGAGGGGGAGAGGATGGGGCAAAGGGCAACACTGGCACCTGTGAGCCACGTTCTCATTTTTCCCAAAGAAAGTCCAGGAGCTGGGACAACAGGAGGACCCACCAGGGATTCTAGAATAGTCCAGGCCTGGACTAGTACTTACCCTCTCAGCTACTCAAAACATGGCTCTTGAAAAATACACTTGCAGAAACAAACATTTCACTTAATCCAAGCTTCGAGAACTGAATGGACTGTTTATGCGTAAAGCACGTCTTTTCCTGTTATCCCACAGAAGGGGGAAGGTGGCACTTCTCGGAACTCTTGCAGTCAGGCCCTTGAGTGCCAGATGACGCTTCACTTAGAACCCTGACCAAACAGCGGGGGACAGCACCGAGGAGCTGACCGTCTGGACTCTAAGTAACTCCTACACACACGCTGACGTCATAAACCGTAACAATATATCTTGCTTTATTGAATTTCTTCCAGCTCCGAGAGGCCAAGTCATACCAAGGAGATGACACAGGTGAGGTACACGCACGCTTGTGGGCTCCAGCAGGGGAGGACTCTTATGCCCCATAAATGCGGCTGCATCAGGAAACCTGGCTGCAGAGATTCTGTGCTCCATCTTGGCGCTAGGTGCCCACCGCTGAGGCAGCCTGACTCACTGACCAGCAAGAAGAGCCTCGAGCCGGCGCCGCGGCTCACTAGGCTAATCCTCCACCTTGCAGCGCCGGCACACCGGGTTCTAGTCCCGGTTGCCCCTCTTCCAGGCCAGCTCTCTGCTATGGCCAGGGAGTGCAGTGGAGGATGGCCCAGGTGCTTGGGCCCTGCACCCCATGGGAGACCAGGAAAAAGCACCTGGATCCTGGCTCCTGCCATCGGATCAGCGCGGTGCGCCGGCTGCAGCGGCGGCCATTGGGGGGTGAACCAACGGCAAAGGAAGACCTTTCTCTCTGTCTCTCTCTCACTGTCCACTCTGCCTGTCAAAAAAAAAAAAAAAAAAAAAAAAAAAAAAAAAAGAAGAGCCTCAACTGACGGTTTCTGGCATCTGTGTTTTCCAGATGCGGGTGCCGTCCTAAGATGTCTATCCTCCAATTCCCGGTCCTTTGAGAACTGCGGGTTAGTGGCTCTGGGGAAAGCCCCGGGCTCCTCCAGCTTGCAGTCACACCCCCAACTTGATGAGCAGCCCATCAGTCAGAGCATGTCCAAGCAGCAGAGAGGAGCCCAGTGCCCCGGAATGCAGCCCCAGCCTGCAGAAGCAGAGGCAAACTTGCATTTCCAGGGGGAGCTCCATTTTGACTCTTTCCTATTGTTGCCTTCCCCCACCCAGAATTTCTGGAAAATGAGGAAATCTGTGGCAGAATCTTTTCATGACAGGAAGAAAAATGCTCCGAGGTTATCCTGATCTTTCTCAATTGGTGGCTCGGCTCTCTGGGAAGGGAGTGTCCCAGAGGACCAAAACACTTCAATCTGGCCCAGAATCTGCGTCTAGCTCTTTCTTTAGAAAGGAAGTCAAAACCCAGAGATGTTAAGCCATTTGTCCAAGGTCACAGAGCAAGTTAGAGGCACAGCTTGAACAACTTCTAGATGATTCCAGAAGTAGAAAGGGTCCAGCTAGGAAGAGAGAGCACCAGCCTCACTGTGAGCCACCCATAAACACAGCACGCAGGGTGCCAACAGCAGCTACTGGCCACCCTAGCACCACCTCCCAGGGAGGGACAGCAGCTGCAGGAGGCAATCTGGATACTGCACCTCGCAGAACCTCCATCTCCTCACCTGTACAGTGGGGATGATTACGTCACTGCCCAGCCAGGACTGGGCTTGCAGCCCCGGGTCACACACAGTAGTGTACGCAGGTGGGGATTTTCAGTGTGCACATGGCTGAGTGTGCTTGTCTATTGTGTTACAAAAGGAAAGAAAGAGCAAAAGCACACAAATGAAGAACAAGCTAGGGAGAGCTAAAACAGAGCGGAAGAGGAAGGCCCAAGGAGGGGACGCTGCGCTGTTGAGACACTGACTCAGGCTGCACCGGCAACATGAAAGGGAACCTGCCTGGAGCGGGACAGGGAGGGCAGGGGTCAGAGCCAGCAGGCAGGTGAGGGGGGAAGGGCAGGCAAGCTCAGACGCCAGGATCCCTGGAGGCTGACTGCCGGAGGGGCAGCTAGTGGGAGGCGACAAGATCTGGCTGTGATCTGGCGGACTGCTGCCCACCCCACAGACAGACCCAGCAGCGCCATGCCTCCCGTGGGAGTCCATGTGACCTAATACACGACAAAGCTTCGTACAGCAAACCCCTGAACATCTGTATTCTCTGAATTCCCTTCTAGGCCAGGTGCCTCATACCCTCTCCCGTCTCTCTCTCTTCCACCATGGCTTCTACGTTCCTCTGTTCCTCTCAAGTATTCCACCCTGGCCTTGGCTTTCCAGACCTGTGCAGCAAGATGGACGCTGCAGGCATTCCTCTGGGTCCAGCCGCCTCGGAGAGCAGTTGGTGGCCCTCGACCACCACATGCTCTCAAGCAGGCCTCGTCAGTCACCAAAGCACTCAAATGCTTTTAACAAAACGCCCCGGTCTCTGGGCAAAGACAGGGTGTCTGAGAGAAAGAAGCTGGGGGAACCAGCTAAGGCAACAGGGTTTCCTTCACACACCATGAAGACATGGTAACCAGTAGCCAGGCACGTGGTGTGCAGAGCTTCAGTGAATCCTTACGACTTTCTGGGAAGCAGACAACACGACTGCACTTAACAGACGAGGGCAATGAGCCTCAAAGACGCGAAGCCTTGCTCCATGACGCGAAGCCTTGTTCCACGACGCCTCGCCTACTTCCTGGTCTCCCTCTACCTGCCTAAGCTATGTGTGTCATGGCACCTAGCAGAGTTCTGATCACAGACAACCATTCAGAAGTATTTGTTGAATTAATCAGGTTTTAAGGGAGTTTAGTAAATTTGGTCATAGTTAGTGATTTGGGTCAAATACAGTGTTCTGATCAGACGCATCTCCACCCTGAGGAAAACAGACATGGCGCAGAAGCCGCAGCGCGGCACAGCCCAGCGGGCACCCTCACTTATAAGGCGCAACAGGACTGCGAGCAGCTGGGTACCTGAAGTGGTGCCACTGCAGGCAAGAGAAAAACCACACACAGCCCCATTATTTTCTTCAGAAGCATTATGTCATCACACTTTGCTCAGGAAGGCACTTGATTTGTAGAAGAGCTTTGATTTGGGCTGAAACCACCTGCCAATGTCACCTTAGGATGGGGATTCACACACACGTGACCAGTAAGACAGCCCACGTGTGTGAGGACACACCTGCACACACACAGACCCCGTGGTTCTCAGTTACAGAAAGGCGGGTTTGGTTACAAATCCCAGCGTTTCCTTGCCAGTCATCTTCCTCTGATTGAAATAAATGCAGTGGATAACACTGTCCTGTCTGCTCAGCACTTCAGTGCCTGGCGACAGGCCAATTCCAAAGAAACCCTGAGAGCCTCCCAAGGCCGGGAAGACGCCCTGGGCAGCCGATTTCCAGCAGGTCCCAGGCTATCCTGCTCCCTCCCCACCACATGGCCTGGGCCCTCGGGGTTCAGAGCCTGCGCTGCTGCCCAAATGAATCAGAGAGGGTGTCCCCTCTCCATAAGGTGGGGGCGGGGGTGGAACTCCCAAAGGACCCAACCCAAAGAGTCCACACTGGAAGGGAAGGGTGTGGCCGCGCGGGGTCAGTAACTGGTTACCAAGCTTCCTCTAAGTTTCTGGAATTCTCCCCATCTGCAGTAGCCCCTATTCAGGGCAGGGGTGCAAAAAACACAGACATAAAAGAATCAGACAGACAATCCTGGATAAAGACCTGATCACTCCAGGTAAGTAACATAAAACGTTTTCGTATTTCCTCTGACCACGCAGTCTCCTTGGCTGCCGCCACACAAGCACTGCCAGCTTTGGAAAACTGGACACCAGCTATTTGAAAGCTGACAGATG